TATAGATATCGGTTGTGTAGGAGCACTCAGTGCCTGCAACGCAGTAATTTCCTTCACCTTCACTGCAGGCCTCGATAGGTCAAGGGCCTGTTCTTGTGTTTCACAGTACGGCTTCCACACAGAATTCATTTTTCCTCAGAGGACTTATCTGGTAGTAGACTGCTTGACGTAGAAATCACGAATGATCACTGTCGCTCGGTTCTGGCGGACGACCGAGCGTCGTTTCAAAGGGGCGGGGCCTAACTGACCACGCTCAGTGGAAGGGGTGTAGGCAGGTAGCTGCGCTAAGGGACTGAGCTCGAAATGATTTACGTTGTAAAGGGATAACTGTATTGTGAATGAAAACTTATTGCGGTAATAAATGTAAGAAAACGGTTTTATTTTATTTTGTTCAAACCGTTCTGTAAATGATTGTTCAAGGTCAACTAGCTGCTATTAAAGCAATTTTTTTAAATTTTAACTGTCATTTCTCAAATTATGTCAAATGTTTACATCTTTTGAAATTGTACAAGTTTTACTTAGGAACTTAACTAAGTTTAGTTTAAATATTCTATGATAATAATATTATAATAATACATATTTGCACTGAGACCTGTATATATACTTCACATTATACGTAAAACTTCTGTTTGTGGGTATAATTTATACCCACAAACAGAAAGTTTTTACTTTTTGTTTGTAGATAAACCAACTAGTAAACTAGGTAAGCTTGTGTATGCATGGCATTTTTTAAAAGATAAAATTTGGATGTACCGAAATGAAATATTTGTTGGCGTATATTTTGAAATCAATGCAGCAAGTTCCTCTTTAACTCTTAGGTTGGTTACTGTGACGCCTATAATATTTATAAGTGTTTATATTTTCCAACTACAGCCAAAGTTGAGGGACAACCATTAGTATCATTGTGGCAGCTAGATATCAACATTCTCACGTGAAACTGTGTGCAACAACATGGCGCGTGTCGCGGTCGCCCGGGGACAATGTGAGTGTTTGACTGTCTAAGGATTCTTGTTGTTTTTACGCAGGCGACCGTCCCACTGGCCGACTCTCAAACAAATTAGAATAACTCGTCAATATTAGCTCATCTTGGCGGAATCGTCACTTAGGTTTACTTCAATTTGGCAAACTTTAGATCAGTATACTCTTATGTAAGTAGATACATCTTACTTGCTAGCAATGTTTATTGCACCAAATTAATATTACTATAGAATACTTCATTGTAAATATTAGTTAAGCCCGCCAGCTCGGTCCCTAGCACGGTGTAAATAGGTAAGTAACGGTATATTCACTGTTCTAAAGAAAGTTTTATTTCGCAAACTTGCAAACCATCGCATTGTTTCTGAGTGCCAGACAGAAAGGGTTGTTCTTTGAAACTGTAACACAATGCAGATTATACAATTTGCATGTTATCTCCGTCGTGGGGCTCCTTCCAAGAACCCTGACTTGCACTAATTACGAAATAAGTACCGTTTGCCATCTTTATACAAGTGTACATTGCATTTGAAATAAAAATACTTGAAATATTATACATTGTCAAAATCTTTAGACTAATCCATTTATGTGGGCACCGAAATGGAATATTCTCTTAACTATTGCGTCTCATGTTTAGCTAGTCTATAGCAAGACTCGGTTAACCCGCAAACAAGTTGCTACCTTATCTCAGTATAAACAACGTTCAATTTGTAAGTGTAGTCTCGTGCAGTGTTGGCGGTCTGCTACTTCAAAGCTCTGTCTCTGTAGTTGTACAATCCCAGAGACCACCGGCAGTACTGGCACTCTGTCCCCGGCGACACAATGTACAAAGAAAGTAGTTTTAAACTAATCCTATGATGCAAGATGATCCTGATGTAGATATAGATACATGTTTTTATAATCCTTAATTTGATTGATTTTCAAACACAAGTGACAAGCTTGTCACTAGTTCTATACAAAGTTGAGGAGATTGCTCCTCTTTGCTTGTGACACTGGCGATGGTCGCACATTCGCGTTCTATATGTAGTACATCGACGGCAGGCGATTGTTAGAGGAATTATTTATGCAATAATAATTCTAATATACAAAATATGTAAACTGCGTTAAATAAGATGTTGTGCGTCGATATATGAACGCATTGCGCGCGTATATAGGAACTCACGCTAACTGTCCAGTATAGCGGACTATCAACATCTGCATCAGTGCAGCTGCGAGTGAGCTCATGCAAAACTCGACCCAATTACTCAGCACCCAACTAATATATATATATATATATTTGCATGATCCGTCGGAGTACAATAATATTTGCAAGGGTTTTGTCGCGCGCCTGTCATTTGGATGAGAACCCTTCCGCGTGGACACGGATTAAGTCCCCTGGGATCGGTACGGTTCGCAGAAACAAAGATATTGTGTTACGTTTCGGACAAGATAACTGTACTTTTGTTTCTGAGTGTTTGAGTTAGTGATTACCTATTGATATTGTTGGCTGAGCAAGACTCACAACACTGTAACACCATAACTATACTCCTTGTGGTAATATTGAACGAGGTGGAACCTACACACGCTACTACTTATACTTATTCTGCCAACCACACACGTGACATGAGTAGTGCGAAGGTTGCCATGAGTCAGCAGCTCCCGCGCTGACCGCAACATCGGCCGGTCCCTGGCGTCGGCCGCTCCATTCACACTTGCGTGCATTGTACCGTTGTCATGTTTGCATGACTTGATGTTTCTATTTACTCAACTCTCTGATTCTATCGCTTTTAAATGTGACTGAAATTGTATGAAATACTAACTTGATAAGAATTTGTGAAGGATCAATTTGTTTATGACAAAAGAGTGGGAGTTCAATCGTCTCCATAGCATACACACCGACGATGGATTATATTAAAGTAGTGGATAGTTGCCGAGTCCCTGACTGTGTCGCGTCTCTTGTCATAACTTGAAACTTTTTATTATTAAACTCCTTAGTTTTACTTTAGTTTCTCATTGTTAGATTCTGTTTTTTACTTTATCTGATCTGATAGATTTAAATTATTGATAATTTTGAAGTCATTGAATCAATGTGAGCATGAAGTTTGTATCTGGCCTCGTTGGACGTCATACTACAACGAAGATAATAAAAATGTATGCCAAGAAATAAAAAAAAAAAACAAAAACCCTTGTTTACCTTATTTAGCGTTTCCTCTGCAGTACATCAGCTTGTATCGAAACGAGCGTCTCCATGGAATCACTGAAGTTGTCACCGACAACTCGTTGTAACTGAACCTTTATTTCTTTTAAGAACTAATTTT